ATTTGCTATTTGTACACTAAGTTTCGACACATTGTTTGACACTTGCATTGTTGTCCAGTGTCAAATGGATGGAAAAACTATTTGATATTTAAACTGTCCAGCAGGGTAGTGTCACGTGGCAAAGTTTAAACTAAAGTGTACTTCATAGTGTACATGTCGCAAGGTTCTTATCGATTGAACTTTGCTATTTGTGCACTAATTTTTGACACGTTGTTTTGACACATTGCATTGTTGTCATATGTCAATTGGATGGGAAAATTGTTTGAAATTTAGACTGTCCAATAGGGTAATGTCACGCGATAAAGTGTAAACTAAATTGTACACCATAGTGTACATATAGCAAGGTTCTTACCGATTAAACTTTGTTATTTGTACAGTGATTTTTGACACGTTGTTTGATACTTGCATTGTTATCAAGTGTCAATTGGATGGGAAAACTTTTTGACTGTCACGTGGCAAAGTGTAATGTAAAGTGTACAACATAGTGTACATGTAGCAGTGTTCTTACCGATTGAACTTTTCTATTTGTACACTGATTTTTGACAGGTTGTTTGACACTTGCATTGTTGTCAAGTGTCAATTGGATGGAAAATCTATCTGAAATTTAACTGTCCAATAGGATAATGTCACGTGACAAAGTGAAAATGAAAGTGTACCCCATAGTGTACATGTAGTGAGGTCCTTACCGATTGAAATTTGCTATTTGTACACTGAGTTTTGACATGTTGTTTGGCACTTGCATTGTTGTCTGTTCATGAAATTATTTATTTCGATTTTAAATCCACCTCAAGTGTATGGTTCTTTAACAAGTAGTAAAATGGACTATGAGTCAAAGTATTGATCCCACGAGAATTGAATTAGTTCGAATTAATCTAATATGACCTTAACCGAAACACGACAACCAAATTGCGATTTTGTAGTTTAACTAACAAAATGTAATCGTTGATGCAATTATGAATGAAGAATTATACTAAGTACAAAATAACTTGGATGCAATTTAACTAGAATTTTATAGAATTAATGGATGTTCTAACACACTAGGATCACGAATCCCCAAGCAATACCCGTTCAATTGTCAATTATACAAAATTGACACACAATTCCACAAAAGATGAATCGATATTCCTATTTTAATTTAGTAATCTCTCTCGAGCAATGCCCAACCTATTCCAATATATGATTTGACTATATTTCTATGACGAATACTAATATACTGACATGCATTATAAATTCACGAATATCCAATGATTCACACAAGGCATAGAGGTATATTTCTATCCTCTATCGGACCCTATGATGATTTATACTGTGTCAAACATATTTTCCTTCTTTCAAATGCATAAAACAGGTCAGCACAATCATATAATTACGTGCACAATAATTATATGAAAATAAAAATGAAATAAATCAATCAATTCTGGAACTAGGGTTCAAATACGTCAAAAAACCAAAACAACAATTAAACATAGTATTACAAGGTTTATCGATCTCCTAGTAATGATAAAACTAGCCTAACATGCTAAGAAGAAAAAAACATAAAAATATTTGAAGAAACGACATCACCCGAATCAATCTTCAATCCGATCTTCACTTGGCGCGATGTTGTTCTCTTGTTCTCTCCTTCGTTTCTCCTTCAAAATCTCCCAAAAACATGTAAAAATGGCATTCCCTACGTTCTGGTCGATTTTTTGTATTTATAGGACCCTAAAAATGTTGTTTCCATAAGAGTTTCGGAAGAAAAAGGAAACTAATTTTTTCCTCGATATTTGCTATATGCGACCTCGTAGAGAAACTCTATGCGGTCGCATAGAATAAACTTTTGAAGCTTCTTTGATTTCGGTATGGTACTATGCAACCGCACAGAGGATAGTACTATGCGGTCACATAGTACTATTAAATATGGGAGAAATGTGTTTTGGTCCTCCCACTTGCATCCTTCACTTTTTAGCATCTTCTCTTCATTCTTTTCATTTCATCACCCCACGATATCATCAATTGGTAGTTGGCCTAATCAATTTCTCGATTTTTTCATCGGATCAACTTTTGGATATTTGCACTTTTGGTCCTCGAACTTTCACTTTGCGTCACTTTAGTCCTTTTTCGTGTCTTTCCTCCTGAATTTCACCATGTTCATCATTGTTTCCTACAATTGACAAATGTATGAGATTAAGTCACAATTCACTCATTTTGATAGTTATTAAGTCATGTTTCTGACCTAAATAAGTGTGCAAAAACACACTTATCAAACCCTCCAAACTTGAACTATTGTTTGTCCTCAAACAAGGCAGTGACTAATTCTGAATAAACATGGCTTAATACCCTATTGTGGCTCAGGATTGGACTGAGTATTTAAAAATTTATTTGTGCAAACATGACATCAACCTTTATATGTTTAATGCAAATTGACGTTCGTGTGTGGATTCATGCCAACATATCAGATTCATGATGAATTTGAGTCCCAACTCCAAGTGATCAAATATATCCCTACTCGCTCAAGAGATACACAACCCCGAAACTTATTCTTTTCACTCAATTATCCCAGAGTTGTGTTTTAAGATTAGGAATTTATATAGCTGTAGTTCTCACCTTCTCTTAGTTCGGATTTAGCATCACTATCACAAGTCTACATTTCAAAAAGTGAAGGATCTCCTAGAATTGATTGCTTTGACACTCAAGATCAAATTAGATTACTTGTCTCGCCTCAGAGGTACAGTCTCTTCAACCAAATGTCTAAGGGCTTTTCGTCATGTTTTGTCTCTCCTTTGTTTTTCTCACCTTTCTTTAATTTCTGATTGATTGTCATCTTCTCATTTGCTTTCTATGTAACCCATGTAACGAGCTTTAGGCCAGTGATTCTTAAACCAGTTGGCTTCCTTGCAGGCTTATTCACTTGAGTTATAAAGGCTCAATAAGATGACTTTTTATAATCTTCTTTACTACTTGCTTTCTATATGACCCATGTGTCGAGCTTTGGGCCGGTGACTCCCAAACTAGTTGGCTTTAGGGAACCAGATTTTGAAATATCCTTGTAGGCTTACTTGCTCGAGTCATAAAGGCATGAAAAGAAGTGTTTTATTCTCACATATCAAAATTGTGCCCTTTGTTATTTTTTTAGACATTTAGTTTTCAAAACCAATCCCCAATTTAAGATTTTCACCTACTCTTCATCCCACCAGTCTAGGCAATCCACATAATAAATTTCATGCATGGAGCCCCCGCTCATCTCAATGCTTTCCTATAATAGCTCAACTATCACCAAATTGTCTTAAGGTAGTTCATGGACTAATTCAATAGGGGGTTATCACTCGTTTCCTATGTTATGCCCAAAATCGAGTCATTTTCCTAATATGTGAAGCATGAATAGCGTGCATAGATAAAGTCAAGTGTTGCATCAACAAGTATCAGGTAGTCTAATTAGCACCAGATCCGAAGTTTTTGCAGTTTAAACTAGTCCAATAATATCATCATAGCTAACAAGGTTATCAAGCCCACACAAGCATGCACGAAGGAAATGTAAAATAACTGAATAAAATGCAAATTTCATTTTCATCTTCTCATTTTTTTTAACACACATCATGCACACATTATGCATTAATGGAGAGTAGTGGAAAATAGATAATGATGAACACAGATAGAGACTTCAAATTATGTCAACCCCCCAAAATTAGTCAATACATTGTCCACAATGTAAGATAAACAAAAGATTAAAGACATAATTTGAAGGACAAAATGAAAACGAAAAATCAAAATGGGAAAACAGTACTCCCTTGAGCACAACGGTGGCTGGGATGGAAAGTTGGGCACGGCATCATCATCACTAGGAGGGGAGGGAAAGTGGGACAAGATCTCTCTCAACATGGCAGACTGCTGGGTCTGCTCCATCTGCATGGCCTGAACCCTCGTCTCCAAACTTCCTAGACGGTCCCAAGACTCGTTCACCCACTACTGTATACCGTCCATCCGGCCAATGTACATGCCCAAATGCCCATCAAAGGTACTCATCTGTCGACGTGCTGCAATAGATTCAATACTAGCAGTGGACACGAAGTTTTGTGCAGATACAATATCCGTCTGCATCTGCTGGATGGTGGTAGTCATTGCCCCGAAGGATTACTGAAGCTGCTGTATGTCTCGGCTGTGTCCAGTCATAGTAGCAAACATCTATCGTAATAACTGGGTGTCCACGTCAGTCGATGGTGGTGGAGCCTATGGCCTATCAAAATCATCAGCTGCTAGCCCCTCTGCAGCCTGTTGCTATCGCCGGCACTCGTTTTCCAATTTTTGTGGATGTTTAATCCTAGCACGGTCTTGGGCCTCGAGTGTGAGGCATTTGATAAATGGACTTGGTTTCTCCGATGCCTTCCCTGGCTGCACTTGTAGGCCGGCAGCTCTACAAGCACATTTGAAAAAAATTGGATCCATGACCAAGGGCGCATGTTAGGCCCCAGACATAGTCGAAAAATATCGAAATTTTCCCACATATTCAAATTTCAAAGTAAATAGACTTCGTTTGGTATGCCAATTAATGGTGGAAAGTAGGGGACGGAGGGTACCGTGACCTAGCCATGTGCTTATGCGTTTGCAAGATGGAAGAAGAACATACCTAGACTTCACCCGGGATGCATGGAATGTTGATTTATGGAGTAAATGGGATGGGGAGTCGAGTGAAATTCGGGGTGTTGATGTGTTTGGGAGAGTGCTGAGTATGGTGTGTGATGAAATTAGGGAGGAATGGGGGATAATGGCTCTATCATGGTTTAAAACCATGACCGAGAGAGTACTACGCAACCGCATAGTTCAAAACTATGCAGTCACATAGTAGATATAAAAAACCCCCTTTTTTGTTCGATAAGGGGCTATGCGGTCGCATAGACTTTTTTTTTTTTTACTGCAATGCATAAGGATATGTCCCTCGTAAAATTTTCCCCTCTTAAATTTTTTTTGTTTTTTCTTTTTTTTTTGAAAATAAAAACATTCTTTTATGTAGAAATGCGTGAACTCTACTCCCAATCATCCAAATTCATTTCAAACTCACCGACCATGTGTGCAATGCCCAGGGCATTAAGGGGATGAGAATTCAATCCAATTATAATGCATGCACGACCAATGACCTAGAAAAATACAAATGCAAAAATGAAATAATTCTAAAAATAATGTGAAAAGTAAGCTAATAAAAGGATACAGTGGGTCACCTCCCACCCAACGCTAGATTATAGTCGATAGCTCGACTTTACCGTGTTGCTTCAGGCACTGTCCATTGACATTGAATGTCCCCTTGCTGTCGTGAGTGATCTCAATTGCCCCATGTGGAAAAACCTGTGTAATAGTATACAGACCAGACCACCTCAATCGCAGTTTTCTTGAAAACAGCTTAAGCCTAAAGTTGTAGAATAGTACTTTCTGCCCTACCGTAAATTCACGCCTCTGAATGTGCATGTGATGCTATTTCTTGGTGCGCTCTTTGTAGATTCTTGAATTCATGTAGGCTTCCATTCTGAGCTCATCCAGCTCATTAAGTTGTAGGAGACATTTTTCACCTGCAGCTTTCGAATCCAAATTCAATTTTTTCATTGCCCAGTAAGCATGATGTTCTATCTCAAGAGGTAAATGGCATGCTTTCCCGAAAACCAATCGATATGGTGACATTCCTATAGGGGTCTTGAATGCAGTCCTGTAGGCTCACAAGGCGTTGTCCAATTTCTTAGACCAATCCTTTCGTGACAAGCTTACTGTGACTTCGAGTATTCGCTTCAATTGTCTATTGGACACTTCGACTTGTTCACTGGTTTGAGGATGATATACGGTGGCTACACGATGTTTAACGCCATATTTAGCCAACAATTGCTCAAACTGACGATTGCAGAAATGTTTGCCCCCGGCACTGATTATAGCCCTCAGTGTTCTAAAGCGGGTAAAAATATTTTTTTTTAGGAACTCAATCACCACCTTCCCATCATTGGTAGGCAGTGCAATGGCCTCTACCCACTTCGATACATAATCCACAGCCACTAATATGTACTGATTAGAGAAGGATGGGGGAAATGGACCCATGAAGTCGATCCCCCAGACGTCGAATAGTTCCACCTCCAAGATATTATTCAAAGGCATTTCATGTCTCCTAGATATATTACCGGTGCATTGACATCGATCATACCTTTTCACGAATTCAAAAGTACCTTTAAATAGTGTAGGCCAATAAAAACCTGATTGAAGGATCTTCGCTGCTATTTTTGAAGCACCAAAATGCCCTGCATATGTAGATGAATGACAATGTTCTAATATCAAAGGCACTTCTTCCTCAGGTACGTAGCGATGAAAAATTTGATCAGCCTCCCGCCTGTATAGAATGGGATCCTCCCAAAAATAATATTTCAATTCAGAGCAAAAAAATTTCTTCTGGTGACTAGAGTAATCAGGCGGCATGATAGACCTGGCTAAGTAGTTAACTATGTCCGCATACAGGGTGCCTCCCCCATACCAAAAATCTGTTCATCTGGGAAGACTTCGTTAATTTCCACTGTTTCTGTCTGTTCTGTGGCCTCGAGTCGAGATAAGTGGCCTGCCACTACGTTTTCACTACCTTTCTTATCCCTGATTTCCAAGTCAAACTCTTGAAGCAACAGTATCCAACGAATGAGACGGGGCTTTGCATCCTTCTTTTCCATTAAGTACTTGAGAGCAGCGTGATCTGTGTAAATGATGACCTTTGATCCCACGAGATATGACCGAAATTTGTCAAAGGTGTAGACTACGGCAAGGAGCTCTTTTTTGTAGTAGCATAGTTAAGTTGAGCGTCGTTCAAGGTCTTACTTGCATAAAATCACGTGAAATATCTTATTTCTTCGTTGCCCTAAGACAGCCCCAATAGCATAATCACTGGCATTGAACATTAATTCAAATGGCAGATTCCAATCTGGTGTGATGATCACGAGTGCTGAAATCAACTTCTCCTTCAAGGTGTTAAAAGCAAGCAGACACTCATTCGTGAACTCAAATGTGGATTCCTTCATCAACAGACAGCACAACGGTTTAGTAATCTTTGAGAAATCCTTGATGAACTTTCTGTAGAAACCAGCATGCCCGAGGAAACTACGAACACCTTTCACGGATGTAGGTGGTGGTAATTTCTCGATCACCTAAATCTTTGCTCTGTCGACTTCAATACCCTTTGCTGAGATTCTTTGTCCTAGCACGATGCCTTCCTGTACCATAAAGTGTCATTTCTCCCAATTCAATACCAAGTTAGTCTCCGTACACCACTGTAGCACGAGACTGAAATGCTCCAAGCACTCATCAAATGAAGACCAGAACACTGAGAAATCGTCCATGAATACCTCGATGAATTTCTCAATCATATCTGAGAAGATAGCCATCATGCAGAGCTGAAATGTTGCAGGAGTGTTGCATAAACTGATTAGCATCTAAAATTGCTTCAAGATATATAATTTACAAAGCATTTTACATTCACTTTGTTTAAAAATGCTAATGTTAGTCTCTAATTCCAATTCTCATGCCGTAAATTCAATTTCCATAAATATATGGTTAAAAATGCAATTAATTGAAATACGTATTTACATACATGGCGGCATGAGTATTATACATTTGAAAGAGTATCTATTTGATGTATTTCACATGTATTTCCAATTTATTACAAGTGGAGCAAGTGGAGGAAAATAATGTTGAAAAGTCAAAAATAGTGACTGCCTCAAGCAAGAAGCAGCTGTCGGTAAAATAATTATAACTTGAGTTACAGACATTGGATCAAGGTGATTCAAGTTGGTTTGGAAAGATAAGGCACGTTTCTACAACTTTTATGTTTTGGAAGAAGTCAAATTCGTATCACAATACAGCCAAAATTACTGTACAAAGTCCAGCTTGTTACCTGCCGGATACAGCTTTACCTGTGAAGCAGCACTTATTTTTTTGGTCATATCTGGAGTTATATAGATCCAATGAACTTGATATTTCAACCAATGGAAAGCTAACTCAAGTGGAAATAATTTATCTGTTGATAATAAGTCAAAATTCGCTGCACAATGTATCTGAAAATTGGCATCAAGTTGCATGTTCCAGCTGTCTTGAAGCTGGACCGAAACAAGTTGCATTGCCTACTTGAATTTTGGATGTTCCTTTGCCTATAAAATGGGACCTCGGCCACGATTTTGAAGAATAAATTCTCTCCACCATCTTCTAGTTTCCTTCATTTTCTTTGTAACATTTCACTATGTATTTCTAAACATTTAGCTAGAGCTAAGGGTGAAACTTTGATGAATGTTTAGTATTGTCTTTGATCTTTCATTTTGTCCTTCAATGTTCATCTTCTTACTTGGTTGAAGTATATGTTCTACAAATGGTTTTGGTTTGTTAAAGACTTTGATTTATTGTTGACAATTTTGGCACAATAAATGCTTAGATAATCTCTACATTCCAACAACTTATTTTGACATATTCTCTCAAACAATTATCAAGATCTATCTTTTAATATATTTGTGATTAGTGTTTTATCTTCCATATGAGATGACTCCTTAGTTGATTTTCATATGAGTTAAATTAAAGATCAAGGGCAATTTCTACTCATTTATCCGAAGTGAATCCCCGACGCTCTAGTGTTCGTCTCAATCGTATTTTCACCAACCGTTCACTACTCATAGACTAGTTCATTTCCTTTCAATTCCCTGTGGTTCGACCTCGGACTTCCGAGATTTACTACTTGCGACGACCTGCACTTGGGTTTGCAACCTTAAAGTTGTAGCAAGTTTTTGGACCAAACGGCATCCTATGGTATGTAAAGGTACCGTAGGGGCAAGTGAAAGTTGTCTTCTCCTGATCATCAAGTGCTACTGGAATCTGATTACACTCGGAATATCCATCCAGAAAATAGTAAAGCGAATGCCCTGCTAGTCTCTCCATTATTTGATCAATGAACGGTAGTGGGAAGTGATCTTTTCGAGTAGCAGCATTTAGTTTGCGATAATCATTGCAAACTCTCCATCCAACCACAGTCCATGTAGGAATCAACTCATTTTTCTCATTTTCTATCACTGTGATACCCCCTTTCTTGGGAATAACTTGTACTGCACTGATCCAAGCACTATCTGATATTGGATAGATGATACCTACGTCAAGCAACTTCAATACCTCAGCCCTAACCCCTTCCTTCATGTGTGGATTCAATCTCTGCTGACCATCAATGCTTGGTTTGAATTTTTCCTCCATGAATATTTTGTGCATGCATAGCGACGGGCTGATCCCCTTGATATCTGTAATCGACCATCCAATGGCTATTTTATTCTCCCTTAGCACCTGAAGTAGTTTCTCTTCCTCCACCTCTTTGACAGTACTTGAAATAATAACCGAAAGTGTAGAAGATTTCCCCAGGTTAGCATATCTCAGGTGTGGTGGCAGTTGCTTGAGTTCCAATTTGGGAGGTTGCTGAATAGATGGCATTGCCTGTGTAGTCCTAGTTCCCAGCTCTTTGAAGTAACGTCTGCGCATGTATGGCGGATTAGTTTCCAAAAATCATGCAAATGTTTCAATCTCACTCGAATCAGTGTGAATGGATTGAGCATGTACAATGCACGCCTCGTAAGCATAGGAAGGATGATGTAGCCGAAATGTATCTTGAATTATTCTATCAATTACATTGATCTGGAAAGAGCTCTCTGACTCAGTCAGGAATTTCATTGCCTTGAACACGTTGAACGAGTTTTGCTCTTCGCCAAGCCTCAATATAAGCTGCCCTTTCTGAACATCAACAATCGCTCTTCCAGTAGCTAGGAAGGGTCGCCCCAATATAAGTGGAACATCCTTATCTTCGTCCATATCCAAGATAAGAAAATCGACTGGAAATATGAACTTCTCCACTTTTACCAATACGTCTTCAATGATCCCTCTTGGATGTGTAAGGGATCGATCTGCTAACTGTAATGTAACCGTTGTGGCTTTAGCTTCTCCCAAGCCGAGTTTCCTGAAAATAGAGAGAGGCATTAAATTAATACTTGTACCTAAATTACACAACGCTTTATCAAAATGACAATTCCCAATAGTGCAAGGTACAATAAAACTCCCTAGATCCTTTAGTTTTGGAGGCAACTTTCTCTGGATTCTGGCACTGCATTCCTCAATTAGCATCACTGTTTCGTGTTCTTCTGTCTTTCCCTTGTTGGAGAGGATATCCTTTAGGAATTTTGCATAACTTGGCATCTGAACAAGTGCTTCAGCAAATGGGATGTTGATGTGTAGTTTCTTGAAGACTTCAAGAAATTTACTATACGGCTGATCCAATTTGTACTTTTTCAATCTCTACGAAAATGTACTAGGAGGCTCATGAGGGTTGATAGGAATGGCATCCCGTGATGTATTGGAATTCTCCTTGACCACATTCCCTGTTGTTTGTTTAGTTTGTTCCACAATTTCGTCATCCGAAGTTGGTGCTGATTCCTTGCTAGCTACCGATCTTTTGACATGTATCTCCGGTAGTTGTACTCCACTTCTGGTTGTTATAGCCTTTGCGTGCTCCTTAGGGTTGATTTCAGTGTTGCTGGGTAGATTTTCTGGTGCTCTACCCGTCATGGAGATTTCCATCTATCCCATTTGTGTCTCCAAATTTTTTATTACTGCACTCTGGTCTTGAAGAGTTGCATCTGTCTTTCGCATAAACTGATTATTGGCTTCCATATACTGATTGGTTGTTACCATGAACTTTCAAACATCTCTTCCAATGGTGGCTTTTTATCCTACTGCTGATATTGACCTTGTGGTCTGTTTTGATTCTAATTATTCCACGAGAAGTTTGGTCGTTTTCTCCAGCCCTGATTGAAGGTTTTCGAATGTGGGTTGTTTTGTTGGCATTGATCCCATTGCACATAATCGCATGTTCGACCCCTTGTGCGAGAATTAGACAAATAACAGTATTGTGGTCTGCTCCACATTCTTCACAACTTGGCTTCTTAACTTGTTTAGCAGTGGCGGTCTATGAAATGCTCTCAACCTTATAGAACAAAGAGTCAATCTTTGCAGATAGTGCGGAATAAGTATCTACTTCATAAACCCCCGGCGATCTCTTCTGAACCACTCGATCTGTAGACCACATGGCTAAAGTTGTTGCCATTCTCTCAAATAGCTCCCATGCTCCATCAATTATTCTCGTGGAGATAGACCCGTCAAATGAGGAATCCACCATGCTCTTGAAGGATGGAAGCAGTGAAGTGTAGAAAAATCGAATCTGTGTCTTCTTGTCAAAGCCATGTTGCGGGCACTTCCTCAACATATTCTTGAAACGATTCCATGCCTCTTCAAATGATTCAGACTCACCTTGGTTGAAAATAGAGATATCATGCCGCATTTTGGCTACCTTTACTGATGAGAAGAACTTGGTGTAGAATTTGTGGGCTAGCTCGTTCCAAGTGGTGATACTTACGACGGGAAGTGAATCCAGCCATTCAAGTGCTTTATCCCATAAGGTGTGTGGAAACAACTGCAGTCTTATAGCATCGTTCGAGATACCCTAATACCTGAAGTGTTGGCACATATCCAGAAATCGGGATAGGTGTGTATGCGGATTTTCACTAGCTATCCCATGGTATTGATGCCCATTCTAAAATAGTTGAATCACATTTGTTTTCAGCTAGAAATTCGATTGCCCGAATGGAGGATATACAATGCTAGATTGACTTTGGACCACCAATGGACCCATGAAGTCCCTGAGTACTGTATTCCCATCATCTTCAACTGCCATGCCTTCGTTGAGTGGAATTACCGATTAATTTTGCTCGTTAGCCATTTGTTGTGCCACTCTTGCTTCTCTTTGCCTATGATGGAATGTGCGTTCGATCTCTAGATCTATGGGAACCAAATCATGATCAGGTGCTCCTTGCATACAATCCCTGAGATTGCAAAATCAACACAAAATTAAATTGAAGTAATAACAAACTAATCTAGTAAGCTAACTATTTATTCTAGATAAGTTCGAATTAGTGTCACAAAAGATAAAATTAAAACCAAATTTCAATCCTCGGCAATGGCGCCAAAAACTTGTTTACGAAATTGTTTATTCCGATTTTAAATCCACCGCAAGTGTACGGTTTGTTAACAAGTAGTAAAATGGACTATGAGTCCAAGTATCGATCCCATGAGAATTGAATTAGCTCGAATTAATCTAATATGACCTTAACCGAAACACGACAACCAAATTACAATTTTGTACTTTAACTAACAAAATGTAATCGTTGATGCAATTATGGATGAAGAATTATACTAAGTGCAAAAAAACTTGGATGCAATTTAACTAGAATTTTATAGAATTAATGGATGTTCTAACACACTAGGATCACGAATCCCCAAGTAATATCCGTTCAATTGTCAGTTATGCAAATTTGACACACAATTCCACAAAAGATGAATCGATATTCCTATTTTAATTTAGCAATCTCTCTCGAGCAATGCCAAACCTATCCCAATATATGATTCGACTATACTTCTATGATGAATACTAATATACCGACATGCAATATAAATTCACGAATATCTAATGAGTCACACAAGGCATAGAGGTATATTTCTATCCTCTATTGGACCCTATGATGATTTATACTATGTCGAACCTATTTTCTTTCTTTTGAATGCATAAAATAGGTCACAACAATCATATAATTAGGTGCACAATAATTATAAGAAAATAAAAATGAAATAAATCAATCAATTCTGGAACTAGTGTTCAAATACGTTAAAAATCCAAAACAACAATTAAACGTAGTATTACAAGGTTCATCAATCTCCTAGTAGTGATAAATCTAGCCTAACATGCTAAGAAGAACAAAACATAAAAATATTTGAAGAGATGTCCGGAATCAATCTTCAATCCGATCTTCACTTGGCTCGATGTTGTTCTCTTGTTCTCTCCTTCATTTCTCCTTCAAAATCTCCCAAAAATATGTAAAAATGGCATTCCCTACATTCTGGTCGAGTTTTTGTATTTATAGGGCCCTAAAAATGTTGTTTCCATAAGAGTTTCGGAAGAAAAAGGAAACTAATTTTTTCCTCGATATTTGCTCTATGCGACCTCATAGAGCAACTCTATGCGGTCGCATAGAATAAACTTTTGAAGCTTCTTTGGTTTTGGTATGGTACTATGGGACCGCATAGAGGATAGTACTATGCGGTCGCATAGTACTATCAACTATGGTAGAAATGTGTTCTGGTCTTCCCACTTGCATCCTTCACCTCTTAGTTTCTTCTCTTCATTCTTTTCATTTCATCACCCCACGATATCGTCAATTGGTAGTTGACCTAATCCATTTCTCGATTTGTTCATCGGATCAACTTTTGGATATTTGTACTTTTGGTCCCCGAACTTTCACTTTGCGTCACTTTAGTCCTTTTTCGCGTCTTTTCTCCTGAATTTCACCATGTTCATCGTTGTTTCCTACAATTCACAAATATATGAGATTAAGTCACAATTCACTCATTTTGATCGTTATTAAGTCATGTTTCTGACCTAAATAAGTGTGCAAAAACACACTTATCAAATCCCCCAAACTTGAACTATTGTTTGTCCTCAAACAAGGCAGTGACTAATTCTGAATAAACATGGCTTAATACCCTGTTGTGGCTCAGGACTGGACTGAGTATTTAAAAATTTATCTGTGCAAACATGACATCAACCTTTACCTGTTTAATGCAAATTGACGTTCGTGTGTGAATTCATGCCAACATATCAGATTTATAATGAATTTGAGTCCCGACCTCAAGTGGTCAAATATAGCCTTACTCTCTCGAGAGATACACAATCCCTAAACTTATTCTTTTCACTCAATTATCCCAGGGTTGTGTTTTAAGATTAGGAATTTATATACCTGTAGTTCTCACCTTCTCTTAGTTCGGATTTAGCATCACTATCACAAGTCTACATTTCAAAAAGTGAAGGCTCTCCTAGAATTGATTGCTTTGACACTCAAGATCAAACTTGATTACTTGTCTCGCCTCAAAGGTACAGTCTCTTCAACCAAATATCTAAGGGTTTTTCGTCATGTTTTGTCTCTCCTTTGTTTTTCTCACCTTTCTTTAATTTCTAATTGATTGTCATCTTCTCATTTGCTTTCTATGTAACCCATGTAACGAGCTTTAGGCCAGTGATTCCCAGACCCTTTGGCTTTAGGGCACTAGGTTTTAAACCCTTACAGGCTTATTTACTCGAGTTATAAAGGCTCGATAAGATGACTTTTTATAATCTTCTTTACTACTTGCTTTCTATATGACCCATGTATCAAGCTTTGAGCCAGTGACTCCGAAACTAGTTGGCTTTAGGGCACCAGATTTTGAAATATCCTTACAGGCTTACTTGCTCGGGTCATAAAGGCATGAAAAGAAGTGTTTTATTCTCACATATCAAAATTTTGCCCTTTGTTATTTTTTTAGATATTTAGTTTCCAAAACCAACCCCCAATTTAAGATTTTCACCTACTCTTCATCCGACTAGTCTAGGCAATCCACACAAT